ATCACTGATGAAAGGTGTTATGCAATTCGAAAGGAAAGGAAAGCTAAGTCCGTGTTATATTGTCGTGTTTGAAATTCTGGATCGTGTCAGTACAGTGGCTTATTGGCTAGCTCTTTTGCTTGAGTTTTTTGTGGTGCATCCCGTATTTCAGTGTCCAGGCTACAAAAGTACCTGCCAGATCCTTGCCATGTATTGGCACCACACAAGGTACAGTTAAGTTCAGATTTATCTTATGAAGAAGAGCCCGTGGTCATCATCAACTGGCAGACAAAGAAATTAAGATTGAAAGAGATAGCATTTATAAAAGTACTATGGAGACATCACTCAAAGGACAAGGTGACATGGGAATCGGAAGAGGCAATGCGTGCGAAATATCCTCACTTATTTGAGACACAAGGTTAGTTGTCATTTTTTGTATTTTGAATTTGGGGACCGAATTTTTTTAAGAGCGAAAAATTGTAACACCCCAAAAATTTGGTGTTAATTAAAAAAAAAAAATTAGAGACTTCTCAATTGATAAAAATATGTAGTTCAAGGTCTAATTAAAAGGTAAGAGGCCAATTGATGCAACTAAAACTTGGCGGGGCTTGAGTAGAAATAATAAGAACTTGCAAAGATGAAATCAAATGAAATACAATATCTAGGGACTAAATTGTAAAAATCCCAAAAACTGGATCCTATTTATCGTCTTTTACCTATTCTGAATCTGAATCTTGCGATTTGGTTTATTAGACAAGAATCAGCATGGATTGATCAAATTAAACACATATACAAGACCAAATGAGGCATTAGGACAAAAAGCTAATGCCAATTTTACTCTCCACCTCTGATTTCACCAAGAATTTTGAAACTAAAAATTTTGCGGCAACATTGGATAGAAATCTCCATGATGGCCATTGTTGAGAAATCGAAGAAATTATTCACAAGGACCAACACAAGTGTCGACGGAAGGAGTCCATAGCCCAGTTGCTAGAACAAGCAAGATTAAGCAACTTCTATGATCAAATCTATCCAAGTACGCAGCTTCAGGCATTTGAGTTATTCAGGTAAGAGAAAAAGACTCGGAAAGGCTCGGGTCTGGGCTAAGGGTTTGGGCCTTTGTTTTGGACCAGGTCCAAAACTTGGCTAGGCTAGAAAATAATAGGGATTTGGGCTTTTGGTTTGGACTGGACCAGGTTAGATGTCAAGTTGGGCTTCAAAAGTGAATTTGTATCCTAGATCCAAATCCAAAAAAATAAATTAATAAAAATATAAATAGGAAAGAAATCAGAAAAACCAATCGGTTCAGAGGATTTACAATCAGTTCACTTTTGGTTCAATGCAAAGTAGATTAGTTTAACATTTAAAAAACCAATTTAATGATGGTTTGGGGTTAATGCAGTTAGTTTAAGTCTTAAACCGCTGGATTAGGGTTTTTAATCACCGGTTCAATGTGTTTTAAGCCTAGTTCAAGAGATTTTAAGCCAGTTTTGTGCTTAAACAACGCCAATTCAGTGTATAAATAGCTAGTTAGTGAGTTATAAGGCTGGTTCAGAATTTTTCAAGCCGATTCAAGGCTAGTTCATGCATTAAAGACCGGTTTATGGCCAGTTTAGCAATCTAGTGGTTGGTTCAACCTTCTAGTAACTAGCTCATAAACTAATTCAGCACTTTAAATTGGTAGTTTTGAGACTCATCAAGCTAGTTTTATGTTTTATAAGACCAGTTTGGGACTTTGGTACACGGTTTATGACCTATTTGACTGATTCAGGATTTTAGTAGTCTTAATATGAGTTCGCGCATGAAAATCTAGAATTTTACTTGGGTTTTTAATTAAGAAATTGTATTTATTCGATTTTTAGATGCATTAACCTAAAAATGAGATATTTTATTGTTTTTTTGATTTTAGATTATTTGTATGGTTCTCATCGAGCCTATTTCAACGAAGATTAGATTTCTTGATTTCTATCAATTATGTGAGTAATAATGTTTGTTTATGAGCATTTACCATTTTTATATATGTTATAAATTTTGATTTTATATGATATATTTAATTTCTATTGATGTATTGACAGTTTAGTTATTATTTGAGTTAAATTTTTTTTGTCTTTATATCAGATTTTGGTTTAATTAATTTTGAGTTGTCTGTTAAGTTTGCGGGTTTGAGATTTATTTCTAATGTTAATACCAATCATGGATCTAATATCTAAGTCATGATAGATGCCCTTTTTGATTAATGAATATGTAGGAAATAATTTAAGGTTTTGTTAGCAAGAGTTGAAATAATTTAAGTCTTAATCATGAATTGGCCCATAGTAAATACAACTCAAATTAATCAATCTCTCTAATCAGCTTAATAATTATCAAGCCCTAATCCAATTTAAAATCTCTGGCTAAGTTTGGCCCCTAGGGTCTAGAAATTAATAACCGAATTGATTAAGCTTGAAGATATAAATTATAGCAAGAAAACCATGGATTGCATTCATTAACATAAAGAGTTCATTCACAACTCCTAAGAATTTCAGTTCTTGTTGATCCCTGTTGTGCATTACCTTCTCAAGTTTACGCTAAGTTTAGCAATAAAAATATAATTAAAGTGGTCCAATTAACATTATATTTAATTTCTTATTAAATATAAATAAAAGACTCATAAAACACTTTCCATGTCTGTTTCTTTTAAAGAAAATAAACAATAATAATTATTCTTATTAATTAAGGAATAGATCATGAGTGACATCTAACCATATGTCACAACTCTTAAGATAAAATGAAAGATAAATGAATCATATAATCAATATAATTATTGTGTAATTCAATGTTTGTCATGATTATTAGTCATACGATATGAGCTTTTATCTCAAACCATTAGTCCAAATAGTTATACTTAGCTATCCTTAGATAAAAGACTCGTATTCATGAATTAGATAATCTTTTCTAATTCATTTTAATTTAGGCTTGTAGTCACAAACTTTCTAATTCTTACATGAATTGCATAAGACATTATTTCTCTCAAAAGAGAAAATAGATTATTTATAGCATGTACATAAGTCTCCATAAAACACTTATCATATCCGATCGTTGTTATATCATATTTATCCTTAAATGACAAGCACTAATAGTGTTAAAGCATAACAACCCTTACTCTCAAATTAAAGGATAAGTTGCACCACTACTAGCAAATAGAACAATTACTGACGTCATAATGGTTGATTTTTTTTTGATGTACTTTAGTGTCTCCACTCTTATAACATTAAGATTAGTTACATCCAACCATTTGACAAATTAACATATAATTGTTTATTTGAATTATTAATCCTTAATAATTTTAAAATAACAAACATTTAGGAATAACTTGTGAGTGAATTAAATCTCAAATAATTATCTTATCATATCTATTTGCTTTTATCATAGTTTATCATATTTCTTGAACTATTTTCATGTTTAAGAACATAAGAATGTTAAGAATATACCAAAAGAAATAAAATTGAAATAAAATAATAAATAAAAACAGAAAATAAATAATTAAATATTTATTTCATTGATTATTTCAAGGGTACATATGTCCTACATTCTTACAAGGACACGGAAGAGAGATTGATTTTTTTTTTTTTTGGCATGATTTTTAGAATAGTTTTAGTGTTAAACGTTGTGAATTCTTATCCTAATAAGACTGCATGGAAACTACATTGTCTTGTATGTTAGAGAAAATTTTGTTAAGCATCGTGAATATAGATTAGCTTTAGATTTATGTATAACTAAGACTGTTGTGTATTCTTAGATTTTTGAGTTCATAAATCTATAGAAATAAGATTGATAGCTCACATTAATTCTTAGGGTTAACGTGTTATATTATATTTTTCTTTCTAGTTGACGAAGAAATACGAGTTGAATTGCCATATAAAATTACACAGAAAGTGTCGTAGAAAAAGTGAATTCGAAAATGACAAACAAGCTAATACGACCAGTGAGAATTCTGAGGGTGAGAATAGTTAAGTTTATAAATATGAATGCATTGCAGAAGAACAGTAAGTGTGAACAGTGAGAAAGGATAAGGGTAGGGAGTAGGGGCAGTCCCAGGACCGGTACTCAACAATACGACCGAGGCTCGCCCACCAAAGCAAATGCCGGGTGGGGTTGAAGCTCTCTTTGCTTCTCCAGGACCAGGATCACAAATTAATTTTTTTTAAATAGAAATATTCGACGTGTGATAATGTTTATATATGGTCTGTCTCTTTCTCGCCCTTTCTCTCTCTACGCTATGCGGGCTATGAAGTACGGTAATAGGAGACAGGCAGCATTCATCCCTAATTTCCTGGTTTTGTCTTTGGCTTCTTTCAGTTCCCATTTCTCTCCCTCCTCCCTCCCTCTCTCTCTCTCTTTCTCTCTCTCTCTCTCTCTCTCTCTCTCTCTCTCTCTCTCTCTCTTTATATATATATATATATGTGTTGTACACTCTCTCTGAATACATATATTGTAGGGCCTTTGTGTTCGTAGCTAATTCCTTTTAATTCCTGTCCTTGATCTTGGCCAGGATTATCTCATTCTCCCTCAGGCCTTATTGCTTTGGCATATTTCCTCTGTTGTTTAGTCACACTTCAGAAGTGACATCTTGTCTTTTTTTATTTATTTATCTTTTCTTAACCCAATAGGGTTTACTTTATCAACATTGATCCGATTCATTAACTTTTTAAACTATTTTTCTTTCGTTACTTCACCCTACACATCTCTTAATTTAGTGTTTTTGCTCAGCTCTACCTTTTAAAACTTTTTGTTTGTCTTGTCTTCCTCTCTCTTCTATATAAACATACTGATCCATCCTAACTGTTGTTCCCTGCCCCCCCCCCCCCCTTTCATCATGAGTGATCCATATCCCTACTCCCAATTACATCCACGGATGGTTCAACTTCAACCCAAATAATCCTCTCCATCATCAGCACTTGTCTCCAAGTTCCATGACTCCTAATTTTCATACCCTTATTACGATTTCAACTGGTACTCTTCACCTCCTTCTCCTCCCTCAGACAAGCCCTCCCTCTCCTCAGTCTGAGCCCAACAAGAGATCATCAGAAAGATGCCATGGAAGTTGACAGGAACCAGGACCACGAAGATTATGATAAAGAAGATATTGATGAAACTGTTACTGTGGCTCTCCCATTTGGGGCTTCCTAGCCCAGTTCTGATCTGATCTCAATGACAGAGAAAAAAGAAGAAAAAGAAGAAGAAGAAGAAGAAAAAGGAGAAGAAGAAATCACAGTGGATTCTTCGGGGTCTGTCACAAATGTCACAAGCCCACTGAACAAGGGGCAATATTGGATCCCCACACCTGCTCAGATCCTGATTGGTCCGACACAGTTTCCTTGCCCTCTCTTGCTTCAAGACTTTCAAACAGATACAACAACCTTCAGGTATATTTACATGCATGTCAATGTCACATGTAATGAACCATTGATCTAGAAAAGCCTGCCTTTGATCTTTATTACTTTCTTCTTTCTTTCTTCCTCTCTTCTTCTCCCTTTTTGTTGTAGGAGAAAGAGAGAGTCCATCCCTATTTTACATCTTGCTCTGATACACCTTCTTTCTTTCTAGATTCATTTTAACCTTTCAATTTTTATTCCAAGCAGTGGGTCGTCCTTGGGGGTTTTCCTTATATTTTATTTCCTTCATCAAACTTCGAGTTTTATAGTTGAAAAGAATTCTTTTTTCTATGTCAAATTCCTTTCATGCCTTGCTTTTTGCATGATTTGTGGGTATTAGGATTTGAGGATTTGGAAAAACCTAATGGATGAGGCCATAATGAGTGCTTGGATCTTCCTATATATATATATATATATATAAAAGAGAGGGTCAAAAGTTGAATCTTTATCTTTTTATAAACTTCATAAGTTTTCTTTCATATTAAGCCTTCATATTTTTAGTTGATTGAACTAGATGGGGCTTTATGTTTTCTGCACCTAGGAGATTGTATCTTCCCAGGAGGTGCAAGTGTAAAACTGGTGAGATAATGATCTTTGTTAAAAAAGAAGAGAGCAAAACCCACCTCACTCATTACATACTTAGCAAAAGCCCTGACACGGTTGTTGCCGTATTTCTGAATCGGGAAATTAACTTAAAACATATTACTGCTTTCTTTCTGAATTTCAGCTAGCGAGCAGAGGTCTGTCCATTATGGCTTGGCTTCTTCTCTTCAACTGTGAACTATACAGGGAAATCATTAAAAATCTAACTGGCTGGAAAGAGTAAAAAGTGAGAAATAAAACAAAGGAAGAAAAGAAAAACTCGTGCAAAGCAATACTTTTATTCTTAGGCTGAGCTCTTATCAACGGTTCATTAACTAGTGAGAATTCCCAAAGGATATTGTGTCTTCTTACTCACCCTTAAATTCTCCCACAAACAGAACAAATACCAAGGCCTATAACTGTATATATACTAATAAGTATGCCGTGGACAATTACATTGTACGAAAGATGGCGACAAGGTTGTTAATTTTTCAGCCCATTTTGCTGGATGTGTTAATTTCACCCATTAGATGTTCATCAATTCTGAAGTTATGGAATATCATTCTTCTTCTTGTATCTGTATTTAAAATGCACAATAGGGTTGTTATAAACTTGGCGGTGGAAGACTTCTTGTGCCTTAATTTATATAATATATTATTATATATTTTTTAGTATAGTTGTTAAACCATGTCATGGTTAGAACACTCATCCAGAGCTTCCTTTAAATAAACTTTACCGAGCTACCCGTATGACCTGCTTATATTCTAAAAAGGAACAGATCATAATGATGAATTCTAATATAACCTTGTGGACGTATTCAAGTTACTTCTATAGATTACACAAGCATGCGCATTACTTTTAATGTCTCTCTTTAGCAATTGTTTTGCTAGTAATTGATCAATTTAACTTAAACTGTGGAAATTAACTGGATATTTATATTTGATGATACAGATGCACATGTGGGGGCATGGATCTGAGTACAGAAAAGGGCCAGAGTCTCTAAGAGGATCACAGCCGACGGGGATGCTGAGGCTACCGTGCTACTGCTGCGCACCAGAGTGCAGGAACAACATCAATCACCCAATGGCAAAGCCCCTCAAAGACTTCAGGACCCTTCAGACCCATTACAAGAGAAAGCACGCATTTAAGCCCTTCATGTGTCGAAAATGCAGCAAGGCCTTCGCCGTGAGAGGAGACTGGCGAACCCACGAAAAGAACTGTGGAAAGCTCTGGTACTGTGCTTGTGGATCCGATTTCAAGCATAAGAGGTCTCTTAAAGACCATGTCAAGGCTTTTGGCAAAGGCCATGCACCTTATGGGATCGATTGTTTTGAGGAAGAGGATGAACCCGCCTCTGAAATTGAGCAAGACAATGAATCCCATTTGAACTGATATCATGAAACTCCATGGGATTTTATTTTCATTTTTGAGAGAGAGAGAGAGAGTGTGTGCGTGGGAGGTCTGAGCTTTCTCTAGATCTGGTTTAGATGGTAGTTACTTCCAGTCACTAGCTCTGGTTCAGGGCTGGGAGCACATATAGTGTTTTTCGGTTGTTTATCTTGATCCTGATCTTTTTGATGTTGCAATGCCAAAATACGAAAGGCTTGGCCAGAACTTGTGCTTGCCCACACACACTTTTTAATTCTCTCTTGAACTTTTTAGCCTCCCTTTATTTTAGTGGTTAAAGGCTCTTGAACACTTGTTTAATAACATATGTCGAGTATTATTACTTGATGGGAGCTAACAGCTATTATATTGCTGCAAGTAGTTTATTCTCCATTTATATACATATGTTCGTGCATATGAAGCTAGCTTTCAATACTTTATATAGAATATGATCTGTTAATATAGAAGAAATATACAATAGGCATACAAGGAATGTATGCTGAACTTATAATTCTGGGAGAGTAAAATCATATCCTATTTATATGTAGCTACATAAAAATTAAAACAATGCATTTTAATATATCATCTAGGATATAGGTTAGGCTCCTCTAGGTGGAAAAATGGGAAAGATGAAAAGAAGAAGTTAATAAAAGTTGTCTACTTTGGGCGAAGGTAGTCAACTGAAGGAGAAAATTACTGGAGATGTCTACTTTAAGCGGAAGTAATCCTTAATTGTGATCAAGGGCAAACTGCTGTCGTGCAGTTTTTGTCTACAGTACAACTCTTAGCAAAGATGCGGAAGAAGCAGGGAAACAACGGGCACTGAATATTGGGAGTTGTTGCTTCTTGGAATAATTGAAAGGAAAAAGAAGGGCAGGAGGGCAGGAAAGGAGGGTAAGCATACCTTGGACCAAAGGAAAAATGCACCAGTACAAAGTAACTTGTCATAATGTATCAGCTTTTGGGTTCAAAAGATGCCGCTTTTTCCTTGCATATTAATGTAATGTAAGATCTTCATTGACGGGTGCAACAATATCTCTCATGATTAGCCACCCGGGAGGGGGGGGGGGGGTTGTGGGGAGAGGGGGAGAGGGAGAGAGAGAGGAAAGAGTGACAGAGAGGGGGGTGGGGGTGGGGTGTACTAGAGGAACCGTGGCGATTTCTATTTCGAAATGCTCTTAAATGTATTGCCCATCTTTTTATTTTATATATAAACTAAATGGCTTAAATTTTTTTACATTATCACATTTAACTTTGAAAATTTAAATATTGTTTAATGACTTAAATCATTCAAATTTATGTGTAAACATTTTCATAAAGTAGACAATCTGGATACCTAATTAACTCGGTAAGTATATCTTATGTCACTGAAAAAATAAAAAATTGGGATTAATTATATATTAGTATATTATATTTTTGACTTCTGTTATTATAAAATGTACATTTTTCTTATTTTAAACTGGTATATCTTTTTTTAACAGAGATTGTCAACTCCAGTATAAATTTATTCACTTTTCAAAAATACTTTGAATGCTTAAACTTAGTTTTTATTATGAAA